TAAACATGCCCACATCACCTGCACCATAAACATGCCCACATCATCTGCACCATAAACATGCCCACATCACCTGCACCATAAACATGCCCACATCAACTGCACCATAAACATGTCATCACCTGCACCATAAACATGCCCACATCACCTGCACCATAAACATGCCCACATCAACTGCACCATAAACACGTCATCACCTGCACCATAAACATAAACATGCCATGTCCCATTGTCCCATGTCCCAACAATTTCGCGTTGTCGTTATCGGATTAATTAGGCAGTGGACGCCAGCGCCACTTCCGATAATTCTCCGATAATCCTCCAAAGAAATAAAGAAAATGGAGGGTTTAAAGGTACAACTAATTCAAAAATGACCATATGCCAAGCAGGTTGAGCAGACAAGAATGTGCAGTACATTCCGGTAAATAGGTATAAGCAGGTTGTCGGCAGAAGCCTATTCGTACAGGTTTCCAATGTGAACACTTACATTATTATCCTATGTTCATTCTTGTGGCCGGTTGGAGCAGGTTGCCCGCGCGGGCAAACCTGCTTCCACTGTGTACGTACCCTAAGGGTACGCACACAGTGAAAGCAGGTTGCCAGCGTGCTGGTTACCTGCTCAGGCTGACGCCTGAAACCATAGAATACAGAAGCCTATTCGTAGAGGTTTTCACTGTGAACACTTACATTATTATCCTATGTTCATTCGTGTGACAGGTTGGAGCAGGCTGCCCGCGCGGGCAAACATGCTTCCACTGTGTGCGTACCCTATGTCCGGAAGGAAGTACGTGCATTTCTATGTCTGTGAAGGTGTTTTGTGAGGATCCTAAGCCGCTTCACGGCCTGTTCTTATAATAAAGACGATGTGCCTTATTTAGTTCAATTAAAGCAAAATAATAATCGATAACGAACTAGTAATTGATTAAACTGATTGAAACAATTTCAATTGATTAAATTGATAAATGGAATGAAAAAGGGTCATACTTTTACTGGCATCAGAAAAGCTTCCCTATGTTCTATGACTATAATTGATTGATTTTTCTGATTCATATTCCATACACCAGTGACGTGATGACGTGGTTCTGACGTCATCCGTCAAAGGCACTTCGTTGAACGAATTTGGGCGGGACTTGCACGTTCTCCAACAGCTTTATTCCTTCCCTCTCAAGACCCAGCATAACATAGCAGAAAAACTTTGAATAAACTTATTTATTTTGTCTCGAATTTTTATGTCCCTCCATAAGTTTTTCGTGATCACATGAGTTGTTATGAAGGAAATTTAAATAAACTTTGAATTTTAATTATAATGAATTTTGAACAATAAATTCTTTAATTAAAAAATTTTAATTATTGTGTTCGCTGGCCATTCCTCGGCCACCTGAAAGCCGCCCGTTGCTCCAAAATGGGCGCTGGCTCGGATATCATATTACAGAGACTACAAGCCCGATAGTAGCAATTTGCCAATCTGAGGACAGAGCCGCGATTCACATCGCTTTCAGACTTCGCCGCGCTTTGGCTACCAGCCTTCAACGTCCTCCTCATAGATATTCCTAGCCTAGCGTAACTACAGCATCTATCCAGAAGATATTACCATGTTCATTGTGGCGAATACCCTAGGTGACGCTGGGGACGCTTCAGGAGGCCATAGACAATTTGGTAATCTTGATTGACACTTGGTCCCTCACCTTAAACCCTGCAAATCCTGCGTTCCAAATATTCACCCGAAAATGCAAAGTCTATCCCCTTCTACCCTCAACATCTCGGGCACGCCAATACCAAACATCCGCCATCACCGACTCTTAAGCCCCTATCACATACCCTAACAAAATTCGGGGTATGCTTCAGCCTCTGCCCCAGAGTTGCTATATGTTCGCGTTAGTTATTCTGGGTCAGTTGGCCAACTGATCGCAATCAGCGACTAGTCAGAACCTAGCTACTGGCCGACTTTATGGTCTCCTGAGAGTAGGGCAAGAGCTGGCAGAATCCCCTCAGTCCCCTCACCAGGCTCTGGTAGCTGTCTGATTCGGGGACCGGAATGTGCGTATAACCAAAAAACGGACATATACCCTATCAAAATTTTTAGCTGGTGGCGAGCCTGAATGAGGAACCGCGTAGGACTCGGACCGAAGGTAAATCAGCTTCTCTATAATGTCTGCTTCTTGGTCTACATTCCGGCCCCGAACCAGACAGCTACCAGAGTCTGGTGAGGGGACTGAGGGGATTCTGCCAACTCTTGCCCTACTCTCAGGAGACCATAAAGTCGTCCAGGATGAATTCTGACTAGTCGCTAGCCGATTGCGATCAGTTGGCCAACTGACCCAGAATAACTCTAACGCGAACATAGCAACTCTGGAGCGGAGGCTGAAGCATACCCCGAATTTTGTTAGGGTAGAGGAGCTGATTTCCGTTCGGTCCGAGTCCTATGCGGTTCCTAATTCAGGGTCGCCACCAACTAAAAATTTTGATAGGGTAGAGCGGCAAATATACCTCCGGCGTCAAAAAAAGCAGCGGTATTTACCGCGCAATCATTCACAAGAGGCGGTTTTTTAACGCTGGAATCTATCAGTCTTGCAGTGCTGTTTTATGCACCATTAGTCTATCTTTATGTAATAATATTTATGTTAATGTAACCATCTATATATATCTTTGTGGAAATATATCTTTTATGTAAAATATGTCTCCTATGAAATATATCTTTATGTTTATGTAACAATATCAATCTATAGTCTATCGGACTTACAGTGCTGTTTATTGTGCACATTAAATACTGCCCCAGTCTCTGTACCATACTAGCTAGGGGCGTGTAAAACCGCCTACTGTGAAAGATTACATTGAATACCATTGCAAGATAAACTGTCGCGGCAAATCCACCGCCGCAGTTTTAGCAGTACACATGCCGGCATCAGGCGTCAACTTATACGCCGCTTTAAAATCTGTAGTGTGTCAATAGCAGTGCACATTTTGTATGTCCTCTGAGGTTCGGCGGTAAATACCGCCAGTGACCGACGGTATTTACCGCTGAACCTCAGCGGACATACAAAATGTGCACTGCCATTTACACACGACGGATTTTAACGCGGCGTAGAATTTGACGCCTGACGCCCGCGTGTGTACTGCTAAAACTGCGGCGGTGGATTTGCCGCGACAGTTTAGCTTGCAATGGTATTCAATGTAATCTTTCACAGTAGGGGGTTTTTCATGCCACTAGCTAGTATGGTATCATTGTTCACAATTTCTGCCTCCTGTAGGCCGTATTTAATGTGCATAATACACAGCACTGCAAGACTGATAGATTATAGACTGATATTGTTGCATACAAATTAAGATATATATTGATAAAGATATATTTCATAGAAGACATATTTTCCATGATAGATATATTTCCATAAAGATATTTTGCTAAATAGAAATAAATATTGTTACATAAAGATAAACTGATGGTGCATAAAACAGCACCGCAAGACTGATAGATTCCAGCGTTAAAAACCGCCTCGTGTAAATGATTACGCGGTAAATACCGCTGCGCATTTTTTTGACGCTGGCGGTATTTGCCGCCTTGTGAGAAGGGGCTTTATTACTCAATTTTTTGCACAACTAATAAAATTTGGTGAACCCTCAATATGTATGAACCCTCAACGCCTTCAATATGTATTTGGGATGGAGTTGTGGTTCAGAGGGATTGATGATGGAAAAGGTTACGACTCAAAGTAAATTTCTCTTTTACCATGTAGCTTAAAGTTTGAAAATGTAATATAAACAACATAATTCAGGCAAGTATTGAATATTTGTGTAATAATTCCTACAGCAATCCTGCAAGGAAAAAGTAAATAAATGTTTGCAAACTAATATAGCGGCATCGAAAAAATCTTTCAAGTATCCTTTTGACGTCACATTTATTAACAATCTCAAGTGATTTGTTGAATTTGATTTATTTTTTCTTATTTATGTTTCTGAGTACAAATATGGCATGAATCTCAAAAGGGAAAAGCACTTTTTCCCGTGTGTTTTTCCACGGCGCGGAGTGGAGACCAAACTGTTACCCAAAGTTCGTTAGTTCAAGCCAACGGCGAAGGGCGCATCGGCGTTGGTTGTCAGGTAATACTCGATGTCCGATCTGAAGAATGAATTGCACAATTATAATTCTCGACCTACGGTTGACGAGTGTAAAAGATTTTTATCAATAACATCTCTTATAATTTGATGCCTTTTTAGAAATTGTAGAACTATATTAGTCGCTCTTTTTTCGTAGTAGATCGTTTTTCCTACAAAGCACGGAACTTCATCTTAATGAGTATGAACCGACCCAATGATGACGCCGGAAATGTCAGCCGGGTAGCCCATCTGAACGCAGCCGTTGCCACAAGAGCTGCACAGCCCGGCTTCGTAGGTCGACCAGTCCGAGCACGGCTTCGCCCAGAAAGTCTTGTCTGTTGGCTCCTGAGCTCGTATGCTCTCTATCCAGTATTCGTAAGATCGACTGTGACTGCAACTCACTGGAATATGAAAAAATATTCTGCACAATCAATCATAGCTAAAATAACGGTGCTTGAGAGTTAAACCTGACTAATCGGTAAGCATTATCAGATCATGTACGATAGCAAGAAAGTTGGGATTAAGCGCATCATCATCATGATAAATTATTAGCAGCTTGGCGCCATTTGAATGCGAGTTTAATTGATCCATTGTAGGTCTTGAAGAATTCATTAGTATCAAAAAAGTTGTGCTCGAAACTTACGAATATTGTCTATAATTGAGGTGCTGTTGACCAGTGGGCAGCCAACCTGATGAGCTCCGCCGTTTGGGTAGAAGTCGACTTTGCCAACTGGTTCGATCATTCCCAAGCATCCCTACCAGAGATAAATGTCTTTGATTCTTCACCACTGAAGATCTCGCCAAAATGAATTCACTCTCTACGCTAAGAGCTCTCTGAGAACAATTGAGCGACGAAAAACCAACCCTCTGAACCCACCGAGCAATCATTCCTATAGGTTGATATATACGTGAATGAGTGTTGCTGCTAGGGAGTGAAGGATAAGAATATTGCAAGTGATCATTGTAATGATCAATCATTTTGATACTTCCTAATGTATTATAAAGTATCCTAATCCCTACGAATTATCTTATCATCATTATTCTGCCTCACGTCTTCTTGGGAGCAGGCGTTGGTGTGGATGATGTCGACGAATGTGGCGCTGTTGGGGTTGATGCGTTGGGATTCGTCAACCTCCTCGAAGAGCGGCGACGCAGGGTCCAGACCTGCTCGTTTTAGCAGACAAAGGCGGATATTCTAATCGGTCTGGGAGTTGCTTTGCAATATTAGGAAATATTTTTGCAATAGTGTACAAAAAAACTAGTGTTTCTATTCAAACAAGCGTGGATAGAAACATCCAAACGCTTGTTGCCTCGTGGCAACAAGCGTGGATCTCATCTTGGGTGCTCGCTCAAAGCCTCTTCCTGTATTTTTATCTCTTTCTGTATTTCTATCTTTTTGAAATACGATTGTACCTTCCCCTCCCTATGACTCCTCCTCCAAACGACGCTTCAGCCTCGAACCCGACGGGCTTGTCCCAAAGGGCGAGAGGCAGTAACCTCCTCATAATCACGACCCAGACTACCATCTCATCCATTCAATTTCCATTTTAGGCCTTCGATCCCCGTCAGGGACTTTCCCCTCCCCCCAGGGTCCCACACCAGGCGAGCCCTCTGGTGCCCCGCCATATTGGCGGCCGACAGCACCCTGTTGCACCCCGGACACTGAGAAACCCTCCCCCTCCCGGCTCTCACCGGCTCCTCTCCCCCCCCCGACACTCGCGCCAACGTGTCGTCCCCCAGCGCCCTCCCTCACACGCCTCCCCCTCCCGACCCTCCCCCTCCCCCTCCCGACTCTCACCGGCTCCTCCCCCCTCCCCACCGGCGCAAACGTCTCGTCCCCCAACACACCCTCTCACATGCCTCGCGTAATTTCCCTTCGTTATCCAAGTATTGTACCTCCCACACTGCCTCCTGTCTCCCACTCCACTCGCTCCACCCGTGCACGTCCTCTCATGATTCACTCTCGCACCTTCCGTCTCAACATTCGTACCACATATGCTACACTCAAACCTCACTCGCTCTTCAGCCACTCTATTCATGCGCTTCTGGGGGTTGGTAAGGCCCGCCTTACTTCGGCAGACCTTCCCACACCCGTCATACCTACATACCCAGTCATTCCTTCTAACATTCCTGTCCAGTTTTGCCACGTTTGCATCCCAAGCGTACTCGTGCCCTTTTTGACATTCCCACTCATCCAAATGTTCCATGCGTTCTTTCACCTTGCTCTTCCATCCCTCCCTATCTCTGCTCAGCCGCTCAACATCCGTCCAATCCACTCCCGCTTCTTTCAACATCCGCTTCCAGTACAAGACAGTCTTCCTCTTACGCCCTTTCATCTTCCCGAAACTTCAAACCTCTCATACCATCCTAGCACCATCGCTTTCGTCTGTCATTTCCCATTCTCATAACATGTCCCACTCGCTCCAACACACGCTTCTCAATCTTCCATCTCACACACTTTACACACAAACACTTCCTAACATCCCTCATATTCAACCCTCTCACTTCGCTTACATTTGCCTCAGAGGCTGGTAATTCCGATCATTCCGCACGTATCTATAACACTTATCCATCCACTTTTGCAACCGATTCATATCCTTTACATACCACACTCTCGCCTGACAATCATACAACAGACACACATGCCTCCACCACCCTCGCCTGACACTTCTTAGACATTCTCGACCCCTTCAGCCACCCTTTCACTCTCCACCACAAACTTCCAGCTCTCCTGATCCTGTTATTCACATCCACTTCCGAACTCACCCAGCTCCCAAGTACTCTAATTTCATCCCCTCTTCCGTCCCAAACTCCAGCACCTCCTCTTTCTCTCTCACACACTCACTACTCCGCTTCTCCCATGCACTCTCACCAGCAAACGAACCCCCTGGCACCCATCTCCACGTCACCCCAAAATCTTCACCCTATTCTTGTTCTCGCTACCTCCGCTTGCCTCATTACCAACTGATGGCACACATTAAACAAGATGGGTGACGTGGAGCAGACCCCTCGCAGGCATCCAGGTTTCACTCACTCCCTTCTTCCCTCTCACCTTGTAAACAGTCTACTCGTGCAAATACACAATCGTATCCAAGCATTTACCTTTCATTCCATACCTCTCAAGCAACTTCCACAAACCCGGTTTATTCACCCTCGGATATGCTTTTTTCAAATCCAGCAATCTAGCAACAGGCCACTCCTCTTCATTCATGCCCTCATTCCCATTCAGTTCCATTCTTCTCTTCAAATCGGGCACATCCTATTGCATACGAACCATCATTTGAACCACACATCCGCTGTCGGCCTTCCCTTTCGAAACCCTGCCCACCACGCCGCTCTCTTCGCTATCACCCTCGCAAGTATCCTGCTCCCCATGCTAAACAGATATACCTCCCTATAGTTATTGCAGTCATTCCTATCACCCTTCTTATATAATGGAATCATAATGCCTACTTTCAAAGATTCATCACATGCATCCGCTCTCTTCTCAAACATTTCTCTCATAAACTCAATCACTCTGTCTCTCACTCCTTCATCCGCCCACTTAATATATCCAATCCTCATTCCATCTTCCCCAGGCGCCGACTCTTTCACGTCTTTCATAGCCGCAACATTCTCTTCTCTTTCAGGCACTTCATTCAGTCGATCATTTGCCTCTTTCGCTCTTTCACACTCTCGCAGGTCAGTCGCACCATTTACTACCCGTTCTATCACTCTCGGCTCCTCTTCATACCTCTCGCACGTCACTCGTTCAAAATGCTCCTTAAATTCATTCACACAGATATTAGCACTCGCTCCCGCCCTGCATCCCCTCATGCCAATCTTTCTCAAACACTTGTACATGTCTCCCACTCTGCCTGTAGCACACGCTTCCTCACATTCCCTAATCTTATTCTCCCACCACTCTCGTTAAAGCCGCCTCAACCGTCTTCACAAAGCTCTCCTCGCCTGCTTCACCTCTCTAGCTCCAGCCACCTCTCTCTCCAGCCTCTATTGCAATCTGTCATCTCTCCTCTGCCTCAGCCTTCTCCTATTACCCGCCAGTTGCACGTTTTTATTTCTGAAACGCACCGCCGCAGTCACTCTCTCATTCGACGCATTTAGCTCATCTTCATACATAATTACCCAGGGATTTTGAACCCCCTTCTCACATACTCCACATACTTCTTTCGCCGCCTCAGTCATCACCTCCGCAAGCACCTTCCATTTATTTGCCTCAGTCATCCTCTCATTTGTTTCCACTTTGTATTCTTCCCTCTTCTCCCGTTCTTTCAACACCTCCCACTTTATCCTTGGCACTCTCTTCGTATTCCCTCCTGGCTCTCTCCTTCTTCTCCCCTTCACTCTCACAGTCATAACTACTGTCTTGTGGTCCGACAACTCGCATTTCCTCCATCCGTCCTTATATTTTTTACCATCCACCCCTATCAATCTTCCGCATCACAAACCCATCCAACTCATACCTCACATTAAACCACGTCCCTCTCATTTTATTCCTCATGTAGCTATTCACATACTACAACTCATGCTCCCTCACACCAATCAATCAGATCCCTTCCTGCCTCATTCATATTCCCAATGCCATACCTTCCACACATCCCTTCCCTTTCATTTCCTCTGCCAACAGTCGAGTTAAAATCTCCCCCTAACAAAAAAATATATGATCGATTTCTCATTTCCACCACACGCAACTTGGTTCTCAACCGCTCTTCCGTACCTCTCTATACTGTCCTCATTCGTTCCTTACACAGGCTGATACACTGATACCAAACGCAACCCTCCTAATGCTTCAGCAGTCACTCTCTCCTCAAACCATCTTTTCTGTCCATCTCTTACCCACACCTCTGAAGCCTCGATCACCTCTCAAAACCACAGCCGACTTCTTCGCATGTACCACCACCACTCTTTCCTCTACCAACCACAACACACCGTCATCTTCTGCACTTATCTCACTCAACAAAACAATCTCCCACCCTTTCCACACAATCTTCTCAATCACTCTCCTCAAACGCCTCCTATTATACTCTCTCATTGACAATCTCTGCACATTACACGTCACAATCACTCTCACTCCTTCGTCTCCCACCCACACCTTCATTCACAACCTCAGCATCTCTCTCTCGATCTCTCCTCCTCCGACTCTCGTGGCGCCTTTCCCTCCTCTCTGCTCTTCGCCTCTCTCCCACCCCCCTCTGCCCTCTTCAGTTCCTCGGCCCGGGATGCGGGTGAATGGACCGGAGTCCAATCAACGTAAGGGCTGCTGCCAGCCTGTCCAAACGGCTCGCCACCGTCTGGCCGGCACCGATGCGGGCCCCCTATTAAAGAGTGATCCGGGGCGGCTAGGCCCGTCTTCCTCTGTTGTAAGCGACTAAGCGTGGGAATGTTGGGCATCTCCCGTTGCGGCTTGATCCCACATTGCCCCCGCCCCCTGGTGGATCATTTGCCGCTCCAGAGGCCACCAACTGTTGACCCCGGGCGAGTCCCCCTTGCGCCACAGGAGGCGAACCACCGAGCAAGGGACTACCATCTCACTCGTCGCGTGACGAGTGAGATCTCACTTGTCGCGTCACTCGCCCTCATCTTCATCCTCACCCAGCCCACCATCCAATTTATTACCCTAGAGGCCCCAGACATACCGCGTTCAACTGAAAAAACAACCCAAGAATGCCGATAGACCGACCCATGTATTCCAGATAACCTTTAAAGAATTTGACGCTCCACTGATCCGACTGACTGATCCTGCCTGCCACCGGTTTCTATGCCGTGATTGATGACGCTAATACAATCGACAAACTGACATAAAAAATGCGACCAATGCATTCCGCAAAATCAGACGACAACTAGATAGGGACATAGGAAGCCCCGCTGCTCACGAAATATAACACGAAATCACTAAACAACAAAACTGGCTACACAATACGCATACAGGAAATCATAAAAAAAAAACATTACACGCGCGTCATCAAAATAATAACCACAGACAGCACAATAGCCCAACGCATACTTACCCACGTATTCTACACATATAACACTAGAATCACTCCTTGCTAAGATTCGTTGTGATCATTGTTGCGTGGAAACCGATTCGGGCGAACATGGGTGCTACGTTAGGATATGAATATGTAAATATATATGTGAATAGATTTGATGTGGACAAATTGTTT